TAGTTAAAGAGAAGACAGGGCGATTGAAGTGCCCACCGCAAACATTCAAATAGTCAGCAACTCTTTTCATGACACTTCCTGAGAAGATCAATACAACTATGAGTGCGTAGACAAGCATCGCTGAATGTGTCATCCATAATGAGAAACGTCCATCGGCGAAACGATCCGATCGTTTCGCCACTTTCAGTGATTCGTTAACGTTGTAGAGATCCTTAAAGTGTGATGTTACGATTGAAACTGACATATTGAATTAATGCAGTTCAAGCTGAAACACTTGCAAATTGACCGTTATCAGTTTTAATTTTACTATCAGTCACGTAAATGAATGACCACTTTAATGAACTGAAGTTCAAAAACATGGTGTTTGCTCGTCAACATTGCACTTCCACATTCACATTATAATTTCCACTACGTAATCATGATTGAGCAATTTCATTTTATGCTGAGTTTATCAATTGCTCGGTGTTTAAAAGAAATTTTGAAATTCGCAACAATTGGCTGAGAACAGCTATAAATATGACCTGAAAGTATGGATAAATCATTAGAGCGGATGCAATTACAACAACTGTATAAGTACTCGCTAACACCACGTAATTCGCTTCTGCAGCAAATGGCCAAAGCAGTTCTCTTGCGAAGAACACAATACCAGGTCCGATACCAATGCGATGTCCACTGATCAGTCTCAACTTGGATCGAACTTATTTTGATTACCGGTTAGTCTCGAGGTGAGTCAAAATTGCGTGAAAACTGTGATTGCGAAAGAGAGAACAATCAAAAAATTTTGTGCTCACCTCATAATCAACAAGAACTGCGAAGGCTTAACGAAACTGGTTCAGTTGTTCCGAAATTGCTGAATCTCATCAAAAATCGACTTTTTCTGAATTCGCATTTTTTCTATCAGTCACACTTTCTTCTTTTTCTTCTATTTTCATCAGTGACCAAAAAGCAAAAAACTCACTTCCGAATAGCACAGTGTTGACATGACAGAAGGAAAATTCTCTCGAATTCATACGATGCTAATCGAACAAGTAGAAAACACGCAAAAACAGTTAACGCTTTCCTTTCTGCTTTGCAGTAAATTTCTCCTGTAACAATCGCCCGATCGAGAAGTACAACAATACATCATGATATTGATAAATCTGATGCAGATACTCATCTCAATAATAGTCAAGATATTGATTGCATTCATAATTTTCATTTGAACAAAAGATAAACCTGCGAGGAGATCTAGTGCCGTTTGCTGACCAACTGAAGCCAAAAATGACTCATCGCTCGAATTAGTAACCAGTAAGCGCTCTTCTTGAAAACAAGATCTGGAAACATATGTCCAATAACTTGTGATCACAAGTTATTTTCTTGGGAATTATCAGAAATTGAATGAGTTTAAGCATCCGTACATTTAAAGGAGCCGTGATTTTCAAAGCAAGTTTAATCTTGTTAAGGTTGCAATCTAATGGTGATCATTACAGGTTTGTTTTACATTCATACTAGATATGATCTAATGATTAACCATAACACTCAAAAAATTTCTTTTTTGTTAACCGCTTGTCGGAGGTAGTTCACGCTCTAACGTTCATGATTGGTTCTTCTTCCAAAAGGAGAAGTTTTCGATATGAGAGTATTAAAATGGTACTGTTCATGGACTGCATGACCAGATTCACAGAAACCAGTTCTCAAAAAAATTAATTGATCAGCTGCAACAATGTTTTTGATCCAGACGATTTATTGGTAATATAAATCTTGCAACATAAGCATACGGAATAAGGAGTGATTCTCTCCATGAATTATTTACAAATATCTTTCTTTAATCAATGTGAAGCATACTCAGCGTCTTGCATGGTTTTTACGGCCCAGGCACTAAACGACCCTAGTGAATTGATTGATCTATAGCGATGCAATGTATATGAATGAGNTTTTCGACGACGCGACTAACATAAGCTCATGATTCCATCGGAGAACAAAATGTCACCCAGTCAAACTCAGTATGAGGTCGGAAACGATCCAATTTGTGTTCCTGGGTCAAACACATCAGATAATCGGTAATTGTTGGATGGATTTTGATCTTACTTCTCGACAGACTTGGTGTGATTCATAAGTTTCGATATGGTAACTGCCAACAGTTAAATTTTGTTCGTGTACCCACCTTCGGATATTTCGTTCAATTTCCGCGTGTATAAGCATATTAGCAAACAACATGAACGGTATTAGAGTGGTGAACATATATCTTGAATATTTGAAGAATTCCTTTGATAAATCACTGTTATTAGAAACCATTGCTGATCGACTCGATGTACGCATTCCTGACAATGAGTTGAAACTGCTGACGGCAGTTGTCGGAGATTCAGTAATGCTTGCAAATCTCGACCTTGATATGAGATTGAATCCCGGGATAGTGATTAGATTCCGGGATTATCCCAGTATTCAACAATTCTGGGAGTGTAAGAATTTTTTGAATCGATTTACAGCACGTTTTTCGAATCAATGCGTTCATAGTCACTTAAAAACCCAAGAGCATGCAGGTGTTAAGATTTTAAAATTTGCGAATAAAGCATCAACTTTGCATAATATGAATGAACTGATGTGAGATTGATTGGAGCGTAATTCAAGATTATTATATTACCAACATCGTATAGAATGCTGTATTTGTATCAAATTCCAGATCCCCGACATTTTTCAGAACATAACACCTGGAACTCAGAGATCCCGTGCAAACAATAAGGTCGAGTTCTTCACTTGCTATTAGAAGTTTCAGCTCAAAACTTCTAAGTAATTGGTTCTGCTCACGCTCAAGCCTAAAATCGGTAACACAGAATGCCATAGCTATAACTGATGATTGAGTGAACAATCTTCAATACTACTTGCTATTTGAGTTCATTCAAGAAGGAATTTTCGATTGGTGACTGTTTGGTTGCCAGTAAATACGAAGCAGCTCTCAACCGAATGAAATCAAATGTACTCGATTAGTTAATCCGGCAATTATTCTTCCAATAAGGAATAAACAGAAAATGTGGGATAGAACGGAATTATCCAAGGAAAAAAAGATAAACTGGGTGAGAATGAACAGCTGAACTAGTTAAATGATAGATCGGAGTGAGGACTGACTTGAAAAAGTCAATTTATTGAAGATGAGTATGGCTGCTAACTTATTCTCGCTTCGTTGACTAGGGTTTGCACGGAATCCCGGGATCCCGAGATTTCAATTCTGATCCCGATGCCGGGATTCAAGTTTGAAAAATCTCGGGATTTCGGGATTTGATAAAACAGGTCAATTTGCGTGAATTTTGATAGCATGCTCATCTTAAAGCAAGCCTTAATCATTCCCATCTCATTCATATGCAGTCATCTTTGTTGTTTGCCCTCTATCATTGATGAATAGCTGAGATAATAGAAGCAAACTGGACGAATGACATGATCAACGACAGCTCGATGAACTTTTACGTAACATTTCATTCAATATTCAACTGATTGAATATTCGGCTCTTCATTGCTTTATATCACGCTCATTTGGATGCATTTCTAAGTAGAATAATACAGATAATCACATTTTCTAATAAGAACCAAGAGCAACAAAATTCAACGAAATTTTGAGTCGTTTCCTCTAACGCGATTTTTTCGGCTTCAATATTCCATCTGTTAATTCAACTGCAAGTTCTAAAGACTGCAAACCTTTTTACTTGGCTATTTGGAAACATTTTCATCCGATCGA